TTCAACTCACAAAATTATGATTTTTGAGTTTGTTTCTTTAATAGGTAATCCATAGAACAAAAAAGATCTAAACCTTATAGACACCTAAAATTCATTGAAAACAATTTTATTTCCTATTGTGCTGTTTTACCATTTCAAATTTTCATCTCCATTTATTTTCTTCTCGAAACGTACTCCGTGTGGGTTGGATTATTTTTGCATGACTCTGCGACCAGTTACTAAGAAAAAAATAAACCGTTCAAAAAGCATAGTATTTTTTTAATACAAGAGATGGGGTCTTAGAAAATAGAGTGGTAATGTAAAATAAACATAAAAACAAAATAAAAGCTTATTTTTTGTTATTGTGAAGTTGATGTACTGATATTAAAATAACCTTTTTATTAAATTCCTCTGAATGTAAAAACCAAGTTAAAGATGAAAATTGAGAAAATTTCAATGATTCAAGTTACGCAAAAATCTTTTAGGCCTATAAATAAAAATCGCAAATAAAACCATTATTTTCACACTCGTTGCATAAAACGTGGAAATATAAGATATGATAATATGGAACACCTCTTGTTCCATATTACCACTATTTTCCAAGCAAACCAACTCATAGTAGGAGAGATCTTTCCGAATAACTAACTCTGCGATTTTGAAGCTTAATCTTATCATTAATCGACATATTATAGCTTATATATTAGATTTGTCGATTAAGACAGAAAAAATGTTTTCAATCTCACCTTATGAAAAGTTTTAACAGGAAATAAATAAAGAGGTTTATTGACCGAGATGAGAATCCTCAGGAAATTCATTATATATATATATATATATATATATATATATATATATATATATATATATATATATAAGAACTGATGATTATATTTATTTCAGTTACTGACAGGTGGCGGTAATTGTTTCAGAAATCAGCCTTGTTTCACATTACCACCTGTTCGTCTGCTTTTTAGCACACATTTCGGCACCTTGTATTTCACCCACATACGGAAAGTTCAACGAATCCTTTTTCTCTCTTCCATCTTGGGGATTTTCCGCGACAGCGCCTTTCGCGTACGACGAGTGCTGTAATGTCGAGTCGCGCGAGTCGTGCGTACGATGAACGATAATATAAATCCGGAATGAAAATTGCTGCGGCGCTTAATAGCTGTTTCGCGCTGAACACGATACTCCGGCGGTTTACCGTACTCGAAGGTACGGTATCGCAAAAAACCCTCGTAGTTTCGTAGCGCCAGGAAGTATTAACGCGCGCACGTTTATGCGTCTGGAAGAAGAGGCAGTGTGTAACGTCGGTGCATAAAATCGATAACGGGCCAATTTATCCGCTATCAAGTAACATCGGTGGCCGCGCGAGCTCATTAATTACCTTTACGCGCGCTTTAATAAGTGAAAATGAATCGCGGCTGTCACACGCGACGTTCATAGTTCTCGTGATGGGCAGAATTTGTTTTAACCCTTTCGTACCTGCGGGATGTACATGTTTTTTGATCACGAAAAAAATCGTAACTTTAAAACGAATAGTTTTAAAGACTTCTACGTGGTTTTGTTTGAAAGAGGAAGATTCAACCTACATGCGAAAAATTAGTATAATTTTAAATTTGGTATTCTCCGTAAAATATGGTTATCTGAACTTTTCAAGGAACCCAACTTTTCGTTAATATACTGGCAACGACTTCTCAGGTGTTCTTCCATCTCGCTCAGCGAATATATAGAAGAAAGGACTGCATTTTATTGGCAAGCTGTTGCTTATAAAAGTTATATAATTGTACAATCATCGATAACGTATAGAGAATAGCAGATTTTGATCTGTGGTCGAAAATGAATGTATGCAAGAGTTTCTTATAGTCACACAATCTGAGATTATTTTACATTTAAATTTTTACATTCTATTTGTAATCGGTGATAAGAAAAAATTTAATCTAAGATCATATTTTAAATATATCAAATTTAAACTTTTCATAGCCGCTATCTTGATATTCCATTTTAAATTTAAATCTTTATAGTAAATTTGAAGTCAGCGGTCTCAAAAACTTTTATAATCGTCTTAAAGTAAAACATGTCTCTTCTAAGGAAGTTAAAGATACGAAAAGATTAAGGAGGCTAGAATGATTTGAATATGTAAAAAATGAATGAAATTCGTAAGACACGTTAAAGTATAGGCATGAGAATTGATTGAAAATCTTTTATATGAAATTAAAAAATACTAACATATGGAGCTGCTGCAGTTCAATCCATTCAATCCGCAGCAAAAAAGTCGCACAAAACTGTTCAGTAGAGACTATGATTGACCCAGCTGATATTTTTAGTAGAAACGGCGCTGTTTCTGAAACTTTCCGCTATAGAAATAGCACAAAAAAGATTCGGTGAAAATCATCAGAATAGTAGCAAAAGTATCAAAACTCTAAAAAATTAATTTGCAAAAAAACTAAATAACGTTTTCTTTTTAGAGTTCATTTGAGAGTTTAGAGTTTAAGATCAGTAGAAAATTTAATGCTTTTTTATTTGAAAAAATGTGTTGATATATTTATTTGTTTTGGAATTATGCCTGTAAAACTGTTGAAAAACACAAAAAACCATGTTTAAAGTACAACACACATTTCCCAGCACTATTAAACGTGCGATATGCATTACTATGGTCGATATTTGCACTCGTGTGATTTTTATTGTCCCTTCCTAATAATTTATTTACAACAATTGTCTCCTTTCTTAATTGCGCGCTATTTGGCGATTATTTGACCTTCCAGTCACCAGTCCACATTTTCAGTACTCCTGTACTTACTTCTTCGAACTTTTCAATTTAGTAACTAAGGAAAAATACTTCTGAAGAATCATTATCTCAGAAATCAGAAATCTTTTCTGAAAATTTAAACCCCTTTTCAGCATCCTTAATTACCCGCCTCGCCCATGAGATTTCAATCTTCATAAAGAAACGCCACGACAACGATCTCTCCTCGGCATGTCTCGCATGATGGATCGACTGGTTAGTATGTAATGGCATCTCGGTCTCGCTGTGTAACGCAAGTGTACCTTTTTACGGGAATTTTTAGTGAATATCGGCCGCAATTATATTGGAGGATCGTTCCACTTGGAGGCAGACGATCCTGGGATCCCCGTTAGAGATCATAGATCCGAGATCTGGTTCAAGAGATCTAGGCCACCGTTGCGCAAGTCGTGACAGAAAGCCCCCGAACTTTTACGAGCACCGCGCGATATATTTATGAGGAAATTATAGATAGCGCAGAGAGGAACGAAGAAGTCTATCGACGAGAATATAGAATTTTGATTTTCAGGACACACGAATTTTTCTCTGCCTCTTTCTTTCTCTCTCATTTTTTTAATATTTCTGCCTTATCTTATTATATTATTATAATACAGGATATATTTTTATTTTACGCTCTTTATCTTACGTCCTTATTCTTGCGTTATATTTACGTTATTTTTGCGTAATTTTAAGTTTTTGGTATATTTTGCGCTTTTGTTCTATTTTGTGTTTTTCCTAATAACGCGTTTCCTTTATCCTTTTATTTGTACTGACCTCTAGATATGATTAATTCACATCACCTATTATATATTAAATATAGAAACTTAGCACTTCTCATGAAAGTTTTCAAGAATAGGCATAATATTCTCCATAAATCATTTTTTCTACATTCATATAATCATTATCTATAACTTTCAACTATATTTAATAACTTAGGTAAGATAGTGTCAATAATTATATTGTTACTGTAATCCTAAGAAGAGTGAAAAACTCCAGGGAACTAAATAAACTCTACTATATTACTTTACTCTCTTTCTTTCACTTCTTTCTCCTGTCGTCATTGTAAAACACAAAATAAACTTCCTACGAAATATCTGATTTCTAAATGTGTTATCATAGTGATTTTATTACACGCAGAATAAGATATGCGATTTTATAACCTAAAGTAACTCTCGTAATTGTTATTGCACAAAGCAAATTGTTAAACGTGGCTCACTGTGTGGCCTCGACAGCTGTATTAACATTATCACTCATAATATTCATCTCTCTCGAAACTATGCGACGATCAACGACCATTCAACAGTTTCCATGAGCTGCAAGGATCACCAGATGCATTTCCAGCCCGCGCAGTGTATTTTCAGTGATTTTTATATTATGTTTACCTGCCGGCCGGTGCAATCTTCCCTTTATTTTTCGACGAGTTTCGCGAGATTTCATCAAGCGCTTTTGTGCGTGGAGCGATCGCGAAACAGCATTCCAAACTGCTGCGAAATCCAATCGGATATCGTGACAAGCGAGGACCGTAAACGTAAAAATGGAGCGCGCATTTTAACTCCCTTAATTGAATTTAAACGATGGCTATTGTCCGACGAAAAACAAAAAAAAAAGAGAGAAATAGATGGAGAGTGGCCGCACGACGAGGACACATGGTCAACATTTGATGGGCCCGTCGGCGTTTACGAGGAGATTAATGCCCGTAGGCTAAGTGGACACGGGTTGGGACCATTCACGGCATACACTTGTGCGCGTTTAGCCCATTCGATAATCAAATGACCCCGAATACTTCGCCAGGACGAGCGAACGCGGTGGGCAGCCGCGGTGGCAAAACGACGGATGTTTTTACGCGTTATCAAAAGTACACCGCGATGCACTTTTCATTTGCATAAATAAACACGCGACCACGATAGATGGATGGATAGATAAACAGTTTCGAGGCAGCCAGCAGCAAGGAAAAAGCGTTAGGTTGGATTAGCCAAAAAGAGTTTGGTTAGATTAACCAAATTTCTGTGTTATATAAACAAATAAGAGATTTCAATTGAAGTTATTCAGAATTCTGCTCAAGTTAACAAAATTTCCGATTAATCGGAGCAGAATTCTGACAACTTCACCCGAAATTTTCTGGTCATGCTTCAGCAGAAATTCGGTTAACCCGACCGGATTCTTGTTTTTCGTGTGCTTCTCGAATGTGTATCGAGGGTGAATTCCGATCAGAAATAACGACCGCTTTATCTCTATGTTTCAGACTATCAGTTTCCGATAGACGTTTCCGGCGTGGCCAAGGACCACCCTTTCCTCGAGGCCGATTCACTGCAGAGCCTTTTCCGGCGACTGCACGCCCTTAATCGCTGCGCCAATATGAAACTCGACACGCATCATGCGCATCATCACAGCACGAGCCACAGCAAAAGCGTGAGTATACAAGATAGAATCGCTCCACTTACCCGATATACGAATGCGATGTGACGAATATGTGGCGAGGGTTGATGGATACGTGTCTCCCACGAGCGAGTGCTCGAATTGATTTCGTTCGAAGCAAGGCTAGATCTTAACACGGTGACTGCTACGCCATAAATATTGTTTCAATATTTATGTTGTTTCTTTATACACATAAGAGGAACATATTCTCATTTAATTGAATAAATAAATAAATTTGGTCATTTTGTATATTTTTTTTATTACATAATATCATAAGTATTATTAAATACATTATGGTTTTATTTAAAAAATAACATACCACATAAATAATCGTTAAATTTTAGCAACGGATACCAAACTTTGCTAAAATTGTTTGTTAATATTTATTGAATAATTTCATTATATCTATCTACACGTTTTGTTGAAATTATTTTATCAAAACATCTGACAATTATATCCAGGTCTTGATGGCTTTATTATCAAAGCTTCCTTTCAGTAATTTTTAATTTAACTTAATTAACTTTAATTTGCAATGTATATGTAATTAGTTACGTTTTTACGCGTAAATAAGACGCGACGATATCATTAATAATCACCGTAGCAGTCAACGTGTTAATTTCACTATACACAATTATCAATAGTTGAATATTAAAAACAGACTTTCATATTTCACATAATTGCCAAAGAAGTATTTCGGAAGATTTTCTTTTGACAAAAAAACTTACAAAACAAGAAAAGGAGAAAAGAACTCGATTCTGTCGCTCTTATATTCTTTGTGATTTTTCCTGCGGTAACTTTGTCTCATTTCCTTTGGGTCTTATATAAATCCTTTTTGGGGACGCTCGTTGCAGCTTCTAAGCTCTTTAAAAGCTCTTTAAGGGATGATAAGATTTAAAAATCTTGAAAGAAAATACCAGGTCAGAAACAAGGATCAGAAAGGGAATTTTAGACAAGAATAACTAAGATTCCTAGAAATTTCCTAGAAACTTATGGCCACGATGTGAAGTAATTTAAAATAAAAATTGTCATAATAACTCAAAAGCTGATAAAACAATGCAACAAGAATAAATAAAAGTACATATGCTATTTGATAGTCGTTACATGAAGGCAAAAAACATGAAAATATACAGAGTGTTTCATAATATATGGGATCCACTTCAACAGATGACAAAGACAATGAAAAAATTTCATATAAACATGTGTCCTATTTGACTTTGTTCCAGAATTATAGCCATTTGTTGAGTTTACTAGCTCAATAAAAAACTAAAAGACTAAAACTGTTAAGAAACAATTTTTTTATTTGTGTAAACCAGATGTAAACAACAAATAATTTGTTTACGGCGGAGATACATATGAAAATGAGAAATGCATGTAAAAATTATACTTAATATTAAAATATATAAAGCTCTTTTCTAGAGACAATCTAAAATGAAAAGAACACTGTAAAAGCCAAGTTACGATTGTGTGATGCGACTTCCAAATTAAATATTGTATGAAAGGATCTCGTTATTTGAAACAAATCATGATACCTTTGAACTTTGACAAGTGTATGCAGTGAATCTATCCCTTCCCCGTTCAAACTACCTTTTCAATTCCCAATGAAAATTAAATTCTTCTATTCTATATCCAAATCAATTAACTATAACTTAACATAATCGATTCCATTTTGATTACGTTTAAGTAAAATATCTGAAGTTTAAATCAACGAAATGAAGATAAGAATAACTCAAGATTCATATTTAACGACATGATCGTCTCTCATTGATATTCTTGTTAGTGATCTACCAACGATATATCGATATTTGAGCCGCGCATTGTTTCTTATGACACGTTTGCACATATGGTCATTGTTATGCTCGGGACGAAAGCGCTCGTGCTATTCTTACGACTATCCGCGGAGAGGGGTGGACGAACCGACGGAATAGCAATTAACGGTTGTCGCGTGACGGGGATAAATCCGCGGTTAATTACTCCGGGAAGCGCGCGTTGAACTACGCAATCGAATGTTGTCGTAACCACATCTTTCGCAGATAGCAACACACGTTAGTAACCTGTCCCTCTAGTTTTCCTATTCGTTACCTTATTTGTATTTGTTATCATAAATAATGCATATATATCGTGTTAATTATTATTATCATATAAGGTGCCTGACAAAATTATCAAGAGAGAAAACATGTACAGATTAGGTCAAACTGAACAAAAAATTCTACCATTTTTCAAATAAGCGCATAATATTTCGAAATATTGAATGAAACAAGATTGGCGAACCAATGCGTGCGATGCCATACGATGAATTTTGTATGTACTCGTACACTCATGGTCGGAAAAGTTACTTGATTTTTTTTTTTAGTAAGTTTACCTATCTTTTTTGTCTAATGAAAGAATTTATTTTCTAATAAAAAATTCTCTCACAGGATAAGACGATAGTTCAAAACTTACAAAAATAAAGACAATCTTTCCGACCACGAGTGTACATACGTGGAATCTCATCGAAAATGCCTGAGATTTACGAGTGTCCCTTAGCGATACAAGTACGATACGCTCGCAATACGTTGAAAAATAATTATCTATGCGCTACTCGTACCTCGTTACTTCTTTAGATATCTTCAGCTGTCAGCTGATAGCCATTGTCGATAAGGCAGTCGTGTCTTAGAGAGAATTCACACCTTAGCAGAAAAACAGAAAGACAGAAGCCAATCAGAACTCGCGCTGGTGGTTAGGTGGTAGTTTGCTGTTTCTGCTTTTCTACTAGCGCGAGTTTTCTGATTGGTTTCTGTTTTCCTACCAAGGTGTGAATTCTTTCTTAAAGTTCCTGGAAGTAAGAGTCTGGCCGATGTTGTTAATTTGATACAAAATGGTGTGCTAGCTGTCATGTAAATGACGTATCTGTATACGTTTGTTTTCTGTTTCTGAACACTGGTTGTACTATTCCAGATTTTACCATGTATTACCTAACGTTGAAGGAAAAACGAACAAAACTGAAACTAACTGAAATTATATTGTTCTCCAACAAAGAACAGACCTATAAAACGTCGAATTATTTTTTCACTGACATTTCAGTTATTACTAAAAAATTCTTGAATTATTATTAAACAAGTAAATATGTCTCTAAAACTAAATTTTATTGAAATTCTGTTAACAAAAGAAGGATCATGAAAATACGAGTAAACTTATACTCGTATAAGTGATGGAAATTATAGCAATGAAGTATAACTACTACTAAATCTTCAAAAAAGATTGAAGAACAGTATGAATGTTATAACCTGTTATAACATGAACTCCATCATTATAAAAATAGATTTCATTTAATTTAATATTGTACGTTCGTGTAATATTAAAACCACGCTTTCGTTTTTAAAATTATTTAATAAAAATTAAATAATGTGTTGCCACATTTGTTTGTTTTGTTGTGTTGTTATATGTTTTCCATATTCCTGCTTTCCAATTATTCCGCGTGCTCGGTCGTCACTAATTAATTCCGCCATTCCGTATCTAGCCGATCAAGAATGCGACGACATAGACCAGACTTTTACTTCTATGGATTTCTAGTCGCGCCTCAGCCGATTTCGATGAGACAGAGCTCGGGTTCGCACGCAGTGGTACGCCAATCCCTTTTTCATCAACATCTTGAGACTTTACACACTGAAGGAAAAATTACCTTAAAATCAACAAATATTTCTTTGATGGGTGCATTAACATATTTGCTTATAAATCTAAATTCTCTTTATTTAAATCAAATATTGTTTACCTGATAAGTAAGCAATATTTGGTTTAAATAAAGAGAATTTATATATATATATATATATATATATATATATATATATATATTAATAGCATCCATCAAAGAAATATTTGTTGATTTTAAAGTAATTTTTCCCTCAGTGTACAGTTATTCTAAAAATGTAGAGGAACTTTTTGTTCAATGTGGCCTGATCTACCCGCACACGTGCTTTTGACAAACTTGTGTCAGAGACCCTGCATAATTTACTGCTATCACACGCGCAAAAGTTGTCGTAGAGAAACGACGCGACGTCCTCTCGTCCCGCGCAGGAACAAGCTCACCTTGCAAATTGTAACTTAAAAGCGCTCCTTCATCTTCTCTCTCTTCCGACTCCCACACATATTTTATTTCACGCACACGTCGCAGCCGCGTGAATAAGCTGTCAGAGTGCGATGACCTACGATCCCGCTCCTCGCCGACTTCTTCGCTATCACGAGATATACGCGCCACGTGGATTAAATTCAGCCGTTCCGAAATAAGCGAGTGGAGAATCTACGGGCCGGCGGCGAGATCGTAAAGATCAATCTGCGTGAATGGCTGAGTAGGAGTATTATTGGGTCGCTCGAGCAGGAAGCGTTCGCGCCATAACGCTGCAAAGGGGGCGCGGGCCTGCAAATCGAGGAGTTAAAAGCACTTCGACGAAAGTCTAAATCAATTATACGATCCATCCGGCGAATCGGCCGAGCACGTCGATGAAGAATCGGCCGTGGGACTCGCGCATTCGCGCGCCTCGAACGTAATGGCGCTACAAAAGAGTTCAGATCGCGGCGAATCGATCGTGTCTCTGCGGATACGTGGCGTCGACGTTGATTCGCGTATCGATCGCATCGATCTCGGGTTTTGAGAAGCCGCGAATAATGGGTCGATCGGCCGGTTACGGCTATGAAAGCCTCTCTCGGTGTCTGCTCTGTCGCGCGTGACGAGCCGAAAGCAGATCCATTATTCAGTCATCTGTACGTAAATTCCTTTCCGCGAAAAGACGTAAGACTTTCGTTTAGACGGCAAAAACCGTGATCTCTTCGGTGTAAAAGATATCTCCGAGTAATAATTTCAAGATAAATGTTTCCCTTGTCGGGATTCTTGTTGGAACAGATGTTCCTTAACAGAGAATGATTCAAGAGCTTCTCGCGTCTCAAATAGCAGAGGCGCAAATAACGGCGAGTGACGGCAACTTCGTTCGTCGTTCGTCTTCAAGCGCACCCTAACTGAATTT